GGCTATATGTAGGAAGAGAGGGAATGACTGCTTGGAGGTCCCTCAGCTGTCTCTCTCTTCTGCTCACTCCATTTTGCTGCTTTCTGAACCAGTCAATGCTCATGACAATAGGCTTTGCACTAGCGTCATAGAATTACAGATTTGGAGCTAGAAGGGACTTCAGAGGCCATTTAGTATAGATGAGGAACTGAGGCACAGAGAAATTAAGTGATTTGCTTAGGTTCATGAAGCTAACAAGTGACTGAGTTTGTATCTGAACACAGGTCTTCCTGACTCCAAGCTGAGCACTCTACTATACCCTATCTCGATCTATTCCCTGAGTCTGCACCCTTCTGTGAGGAGATGGGTAGCACACTTCATTATCAGTCCTTTGGAATCCTGATTGGTCAAATTTTTCAAATTTTCAAATTTTTTTGTCCTTACAATATTGTTATTGTAAACATTTTTCTCTTGACTTTCATTCTGGATCAATTCACAGTTCACTCAGGTTTCTCAAAAATCATGCCTTTCATCATTTCTACAGCACAATGGTATTTCATTACATTCATATACTGTACTTTGTTTAGCCATCCTTCAACTGATGGACACCCCCATAGTTTTCAGTTATTTGCCACCCCCCAAAAAACTCTTTTTTGTACATATGGGTCCTTTGCTTATTTTTTGATCCCTTTGGGATAAAGTCCTACTAGTAGTAACTGTTGGGTTAAAGGTTATGCAATATTTAGTAACTTTCCAGCTATAGATTCAAATTGCTTTTTGGAATGGTTAGAACAATTCACAGTTCCAACAAGAGTATTTTATTTAAAGGGCTCATTTTCCCTCAGTCCCTTCAACATTTGTCATTTTCCTTTATTGTCAACTTTGCTGAACAGATGAGTATGAAATGGTTGTTTAATTTGCATTTCTCTGTGCAGCGGGAACATTTTTTCATAAGGCTCTTGAGTGTTTGGATTTCTTCCTTTGACCATTTATCAACTGGTGAATGGCTACTTACAGGTATTCTAAATGTGAGAACTTTGGTAAAGGTACATGAATTGACTACTAGAAAAGGACTAGATCTCCTTGCCTCAAGTTTCTTCTCTCCAGTTCAGCCCCTCCAGGACCTTCCCTCCCTTCTGACAGTTCAGCTGTCAAATGGATCTTCCTAAAGGGCAGATCTGGTCATTCAATAAATTCCAGTGTCTCCCAATTATTGTCTTTGGGTTCAAATACAAAATCCTCTGTTTGGCTTGTAAAGCTCTTCATAACCTGGCCCCTTCCTCCCTTTCTAGCCTTTTTACACCTTATTCCTGCTGTGTACTCTGGATCCATTGACACTGGTCTCTTTGCTGTTCCTCTCACAAGCCCCTCCATCTCTCCACTCTGGCCATTTCCATTGGCTATCCCCAATGCCCAGAATGCTCTCCTGCCCCATCTCCATCTCCTGACTTCACTAACTTCCTTCAGACCTCAGGTAAAATCCCACCTTCTGCAAAAAAATCTTTCTTGATTCATCTTAATGCTAATGCCTTTTCTCTGAGATAATCTCCAATTTATCTTGGCTATATCTTGTCAGGTCAGCTAGGTGGTGTAGCACTGGGCCTGGAGTCAGGAAGAACTGAGTTCAACTATGACCTCAGACACTAGCTGTGCGACCCTCGGCAAGTCACTCAACCCTGTTTGTTTCAATTTCCCAATCGAACTGGAGAAGGAAATAGCAAGCCACTCCAGTATCTTTGCCAAGAAAACCCCAAATGGGGTCATGAAAGGTTGGACACAACTGAAATGACTGAACGACATCTTGTTTAATTAATAGTTTTCATGTTGCCTCCTCCAAAAAGAAAATAAACTGCTGGATTGTTTGTTTTTTGTTTTGTTTTGTTTTGTTTTTGTTTGGTTTTTTGCCTTTGTTTGCATCCCCAGCCCTTACTTAGTACAGTGGTGGACACATAGTGGGACCTTAGTGTTTCTTGATTTGACTTTTACATTCTTGGGATAAACATAACTTGAAGGTAAAAGGACTTTGTAGGACTTTGCAGCTAAATGGAGGGAGATTTAACTAGTTGTCCTTGGAAAGCAAAGGAGTTTGGAGATTTGGTTTCATGGTATGCCTAAAAGTAACAAAATATCATTTCTTGGGACACCTTGTCTTGCAGTGATCATGATGAAAATAAGTAGACAAAACCCCCTACAGATGAAGATAATTGCAGCTTATGCAGTAACATATGTTGCAGGGGAAGAAAAATGGAGAAATTCATTCTATGAATAACTTAACAAGATCCACTGAACCAAGTCAGTTTGATACTCAGTGACTTCAGTGCAAAAGGGGACACGAGAGAATGGCAAAAAAGTATCTGGAAAATATGGTTCAAATTTAAGAAAGGAAAGAAGACAAAGGCTTATGGGTTACTCAGAAGCCATACTTTTCAGGTATGCATGACGAACATTTTCTTCAGGAAGAAAGTTGCTTTCTTCTAAAAATGCCTAACCTACACCATTTCATTAGAGTCTCATAACAACCCTGTATGCCAGGTACTATAGGCTTTATTATCCCCATTTTGCAGATGAGGAGCCTGAGGATGAGAGATCTTAAGTGACTTATCTATGGTCTCACAGCTAATTAGGGACAGCAGAAGGGTTAAAACCCAAGTCTTACTGATGTCAAGTCAAAACTCTATCCAGTACACCAAAGAATATCTGTGGTCATTAAAACCTTTAGTGAAATTTCCCCAGGATCTCCTGGAGAACACTGCTTTCTTCGCGTTAGTGAGTGGCCATAAGATTTCTTTTCATTTTAACTTTAGGAAGGACACAGGTGGGCACTCTAGGGTCTCAAGAACAAGGGATCAAGCATGTTTTGGTAGAGTCGATGGTACAGGTAATTTGGGGGACAGAGAGCTTGCTTTTGGAAGCATGAAATCTTCCTCCACAATATTCTGTATAGAAATAAAAATAATAAAAAGTTACCCAGGTGACCTGAGTTTGAATTCCAACTGTGCCATTAACTAGCTCTGTGATGTTGGATTTGTTGCTTTTAGGAGGGCGGTCTCACTTTCCTTATCTGAAAATGAGGGAACTCCCTTTCAGATCCATGATAGCATAATAGGAACTGCCCATTTTTTCCCTCTCCCTGATGTGCAGTTATGCTGGGGGAGTGCTCAGTTTCCTCTCCCCCTAGTTAATGCCCCTCCCCTGGATGGGAAACAGCAGCAAGTTTGGGCAGTTCTGCTAAAAATGAGATATATGCATTCCCCCAAAATGCCACACTATGTAAAATTGAGCAACAGAAATTTAAAAAAAACCAGTAGCACCGTTTTATACATGCTAAATGGTTAAGGAATAGAAAAACACTGCAATGATTAGTGGCTGAGCCTGGAGCCTTGCCCTGCCCGGGGCTGCCCTGTACAACTAAGGTCCTTGGGACCTTGGGCAGAGGCCACAGCAGAAGATGGGGTGGGGAGGGAATGGCCCTCCATCTACAGCTTTCACTGCACCAGGAGATAAACAATAAATAAGGCACTTTACCTTGACAAAGACTGGTAGTTTGCTCCTGAAGTTGCCTTCTGAAGGGTTACTGCTTGTGAGTTTTGAATTCAGATGTTTTGAATTCTCTTAAGTTTCTCAAGATTTTGAAATTCCCATTGTGCTCAAAATGTTCCCTAATTTTGAGTTTTTGAAACAGGTGTTATAGCAGAATTGACTGTAAATTTGAATGAATCCACCTGGTGAATTTAGAGCCAAAGGGTTAACTCAGAGGTGGTGGAATTGAGGGACTCTGTTCCTCCAGACCTATGGAATGTGTTTATTGTGTTTGGGAGGCACCTCTGAGGGTAGGAGGTAGAAATGTAAAATCACTCTCATCTAGTCCTCTGGAGACAGTTTCTCATAGGCAGGTGTCAGAAGTCTCCACCAGCTTTATTGTGGGCTCTATTTATATTCATTGACTTTAAAAACCAAAAGCGACCAGCTCCCCAACCTCCCCACCATTAACCCGTTCATTCTTTGAGCCTTGTGAACTCTGTGCTTGCAAAGGAACTTGGTGGTCAAAAAACAAACAAAAAAAACCCCCAACAAAACTTGGCCCCTGCTAGAGCATAGGACAGGAAATGCAGGTGGGAACAATTAGTCAGAGAAGTGTGAAATCCCCTAACATCTCTAAGTCCTTTGTGTAATATAATAAATAGCTAATTAAAATAATAGCTAATGTCTATATGGTATTTACTCTGTTAGGCATTATGCTAAGTGCTTCACAATGATCTCCTTTGATCCTCACTACTACCCTGAAAGGTAGGTGCTATTCTGATTCCCATTTTATACCTGAGGAAACTAAAGCAAACAGAAGTTAAGTGACTTGCCCAGAGATCCAGCTAGTGTCTGAGGCTGAATTTAACTGACAGCTTCTGTCATAAGAGTTACAATGATCTATGATCTCTTGGGATTTACCCTCTTTAAAAAAAGTCCCTATTAGGAGAAAGGGTGCATATTCTCCCTCTATCACCTTTTGGTGATGTGGGATGGGAATATTAAATTCCATGTAATTGTTTTCCTTCAAGCCTCCTTCCATTTGAAGTCTAGGATGCCATACACTGGGATTGTCTGTGTTTGTGTGTGTGTGTGTCTGGGGAGAGGGGATTCCCAAGTGAGCTCCCTCCTTCTAATCATGTTCTTGCCACCTGGTTAAGGATGCATTCTAGCTGTGTCACCAAATCATGGGTCTTTAACTATAAGTGGAAAGGGGCTAGGAGATGGGTCGAAGAAAAGTTGTTATTTTGGGTCACCAATACTCCATGTTCAATATGCATTTACTTATTTGTGTACACAGTTTCCTCCAGTAAAATGTAAGCCACAGGGACAGTTTCCCTTTTTTACTTCATATGCTTGCAGACACTTCCTAAATGCTTGAACTGAATTGAATTCAAGGCAGAAAGTTCTTCCTTTTTATAATAGCTATTGAGAAACTTTTGCTCTTGCTATGCCAGGTCTACCCACCAAAAGTGTCAAATATTCAACCATGACCAACATATGTTAAGGTGTTTTTTTTTTATTGTCATTGCAAATCTTACAGACATCAGCGCTCATTTAAATAAGGGAAAGTAGCACAGTAAATACATCACACAACCCAAAAAAATCAAGCCACTGCTGCTGTGTGTACAGGGAGGGGTCCAGAGACCTGTGACCAAAAATGTCAGAGGAATTACATTCAATAAATGTGCAGTATCATCAACATTCCAGGCTCACACACATCTTTTATATATATATATATATATATATTTATATATATATTTATTTATATATATATTTATATTTTATATATAGAGATCATTAAGTTTAGTGTATACAAAGAAACGATGGTTACAAATACAATACTGTACTTCTCCCCACGCTTTACAGCAAGTTCTATCTCACCCTCTTTACAGAACAAGACTACAACTTTATAGTCTAGGTGCTGTGCTAAATATGTACAAGAAACCTCACACCCACACCATCATCTTCAGACACTGCCGAGATTCAGGGAAGCATAAATTAAAGAGTCCTGCACTCAAGGAAACCCAAATCAAAGATTTGACAATGGATGCAATTCAAACCAATGAATGGATTTTTTTCCCCCAAACCTGTGAAGGAAACAGAGGCAGAGTTGAGGTGGTCCCTTATATGTAAACACTGACAACAGTTAATGCAACTGGGTCAAAACCCCTGGTGAAGGGACAAATAGGTGTTTTTTTTTAATCAGACAGATTGTGGGAAATGTGCATGTATACATGTATTGGGTGTGTGCGTGTGTGTGAGTGTATAGAATGGGAGAAGGAAGAAAGGGGAGGTAGCAGTTTATTCTGGGGCTGTTGGGGGACCTGTGCTTATGGAAAATGTGACTTACCTTCTGTGTGTTGTTGTTTCTCATTTCTATTAAATGGCAGCCTGCCCTTCTGTGCATCCAGTTTCTTCCTGCTAAGTCTACCCTGGTGGGCAGTGGCAACTATTATTGGAGAAGTGAGCTCTGGCCCCTGGGTAGTTTAGATGGAGGGTGGTCTTCACTGTCCCAAACTCCCAGAGGCCCCTGGGTGGCTTCCTGCCCCTCACATTGAAGAAATAGAGCTGGACTCTTGTCATCTCCACAGAATGAAAAAGAGGTAAATAAAAATGGGGGTCGATACCTGACATCAGTCACCAGCGTGCTTTAACCCCGTGTGGAGTAGCTTTTCACTCAGGCAACTTATGGAAAGGCTGCTCTGTACATAGTCTTCTCAATTATACATGGTATTTATCATATTTACATATATTACTATATATAGGGATGTTAAGAAAAACATTATTTTTTAAAAACGTGATCTTTATAAACTTGCTAACATTAAGAAAACTCCTACTCCTGAATCATAATAGCTTCTGCCCAGTGGTGGCCAGAAAATGTTCTGCTTCACCTGTGATCATCAGTGCCAGCATTTAGTGTTCAAAATCCTGCAGCAAGGGACTACTTTTACTTAATGTGAATGGTGAGTCATTAAGTCAATTTTAATCTTGTGTTAAAATACATACCAGGTCTACTCATTTTCTAAGTTTGCCATTTCTATTTCTTTTCTTAAACTTGTCCAGGATTTTATCAGTGGTAAAAGCAGAAAATACATTCTTTTTCACTCCTTCCTTGGAATCTCCCTTTCCTCCCTTGAAACATTCACTGAGTGCCAATCCTGGGTAAGGCATTGTTCTAGGAGTTGGGGTGATGAGATATAGAGCTGGGGGGAAGAGATGTGTGAGGGAGCAGGAGAATCCTTAAGCACCATCAAAAGCCAAAGCCAGAGTTCTCTCAAGTAGCAACAAATAAGGACGATTTTACCAGCATAGCTAGGACAGCCCTCACACAAAGAGGGGACTACCTACCATGGTGTACTTGGAGTGAAGCTCAGGAAAGGTCTTTCCCCCACAAAAAACCACCACCTTTGAATCCTACCATTATCCATTCATTCATTTTAAAGTGTCTTTCTCATTTAAACTCCAATTACTACCCAAAGCTAACATATCAAATCCCTAACCCCTTTTTGGAGGAATAGTGAGGAGGTTCAGGCCTGTGATTTCATCAGAGGAAGAAACTTCCATCATGGAAAACTCTTTGCTGATATAAATGAGCAACTCTCCTCTAGACATTGCCTTAGAGAGCTGTCTGGGGGATTGTGACTTACCCCTTGTTCTTTCCCTACTCCAAGCTTAGATACTATTGCACACTGATGCCTGAGCTTAATACCTTAGCATGAAATGCTTTCCTCACAGGAGAGCTATGTTAGCAAGAGAAGGAATGGTATGCCTATGAAGACCAACTTTTGATACTTCATAATTTAGCCGAAGGCTGGCCTTTGGTATAAATTGTAGAAGATGACTTCAGGACTCCTACTGCTTACTTAAGCATTAATATTGAGGAAGGGCACATCTCTTCCCCAAGGGTATTATCTTGATCTGTCTGGCTTCATTTCCCCACCAAGTGTGTGATCAAAAATTGAAGACTTAGCTTTTGATAATTTCAAGATCTGGGACTCCCCTGTTTTTAGAAAGAAACTGAATTGTTAGAGCCCCAAAGAAAAGTAGATTAGACCTTATGAAGTAACTTCTACTCCTGGTGGAGATGTGGGCCTGTTTTTTGGTTCTTATGTTTATTATTTTTATTTCCTTCCCTTCTCTCTCCATGGTAATAAATAACCACTACCCACAGTTTGCTTATTGAATTCCTATGTCAGCAGACATAATGAATAAATATCTTAAAAGCAGAGGACAAAGGGGTTTTATATTAATATTAAAAATATATTAGTTTTTTTCCCCCTGATTCCACTGAGGTCACAAAGTAAGACAAAAACCCCCCGAAAAACAAAAACCAAAAAAAAAAAGAATTAAAAGTACACCCCACATGAAATCAAAAATATTCTTTGGACCAAGAATATGTAAAAACTGGCTCAGAATAACAGTATTACTGAGACGCCTTTGCTGAACTAAGAGTCCATAAATATGAGGCACCTGAATAACATGAGGAACATTCAACACCAGGTCGACTCTCTCTCAGATCCACAAGGCTGGGAGATGAAGTTTAGAACTTGTCAGCCAGGGCCATAGGGTCCCCACCATGATCACTTCTGTGGTGCAGGGACTATTCATGTCTTGTTGGGCCCAAGGAGAAGAGAAGCTTGCTTCAGCCTATGGACCAGAGGAACTTAAAACTTACGAAAGGAAGAGATGGATGGTCTCCTTGGTAACCAAAGAATAAGTTTCTGGATCCCTGTCTTCAAGCTAGCTAAGGGAGCAGCTTCAGTTCACCAAATCTGGGAGAGCTCTGTCAAAATGCTAGGGAAAAGTTATTTGGGAGTGTGAAAATTAGGAAGGACCTCAGTTAAAATGAGGCAACATGCCCAAAGGACAGAATGAAGTTGGAATTTCAACCCATGCAGCCCCTGTCGGGACCAGGAAGGGATGGGAGTTACATGATAAAGACGTTCTAGGAGTGGTGTGGGCCCTTGAAAGATGGGGACCTAGAGTTAAAGCTTACAACCCTGGTGGAATGAGATGGATGAAATGGAGTGTAATAGAAAGGCCATATATGACCCCTTTTGGGATTCATTGGCTAGTGACACGGGAAGAGTCTATGTAAACTTAGCGGGCCTGACTCATCTTGAACTATCTGCAAGGCCATTATAACCGCTTTCAAAACGTCACTGTTCCTGCCCCTCCTTCTTTATTTAAATGCCAGTGGCCTTTTAATATCTATATTTAGAGTAAATAAACATATTGCAAATTAAAGACCAAACATGGAATATGTTTGAAACCTGCTCAGGAACTCTGTGAGGAAGTAGTGAAGAGAGTTAAGCCCTCGATCTACTTTGGTCAATCAAAATCTTTAGATGTCTTGTTTAGTTCCCCATACCCTATCTTGTCCCAACATAGGTACAGAAAGGAGAGAACATGAGCACCAAAGAACTTTAAGCCGCTGGATTTTTCAGCTCCCACCATCACCCCCATTTGATAAAGGTCTGGACTCCACAGGAAAGCTAGTTCTCCCTTCTGTTCTCCACCCCTTCCAGGATGCCAGGCATGCTGAAAGTGCCAAACATACACTCTCCACAAGATTCATTTGCAGGTAAGTTTGCTGGGAAGATCTGGGCAGCTCTCCCTTCTGCAAGGAACTACACACATTAAAACATCACTTATATTCAGGGACGGGAACTTGGGGGAAAGATGGAGCAAGGGAGGAAAAAAGGGGTCCTCATGGATACTTTTCTTCTGGTGTGTGACAAAACGTTGTGTGTGAGAGAGAGTGCAAACGAAATGATTCCATGGTCACAAATATGCATCACTAGAAACACAGCCACTAGTGAGGAGGCGCCCTCATGCATGTTAGGAAGGTGAGGAGCATGGGTCTCAGATGTAAACAGGCTGCTCTTGGGCCGTCAATAATCTGTACATGGCGGCTGGCATTGTTTTCATGTGAATCTAGGTGGGGAGAAAAGAGACACAGCCAGTCAGCGGAGCAGTAGAACCACAACACTTTACAACTATAAAGCAATTTGCATATAAAACAGAACCAATTAGGAATTCCCTTTCTGGAAGAGCAGAGGAGGTGAGGGGATCCTGGCCAAGTTAACACAGGGAATTCCTAATGGGTAAAACACGAAAATGAAATTCGGTATTTATATATGTTACATGAAAAACATCATCGTTTGCTATACAAAAACAACATCATCTTTGATAAGGAGTAGAGCAGCCTAGTAGAGTCAAGAAAAGCTGGGTTCAAGTCCTACCTTTGACATTTACTGACTGTGGAACCCTAGGCAAATCAACTAAACTGGAAGACCCTAGACTACTCTCTAAGGCTATATAAGTTACAAAGCAGGTATCAAATCCCCTCAATTGCCAGTTTAATGCCTTGTTGTTGGTTAGTCATTTCAGCCATGTCTGACTCTCTGGGACCCCATTTGGGGTTACTGGAGTGTTTTGCCATTTTCTTCCCAGCTCATTTTATAGATGAGGAAACTAAGGCAAACAGGGTTAGGTGACTTGATCAGGGTCACACTGCTAGTAAGTATCTAAGGCCAGATTTGAACTCTGGAAGATGAATCTTCCTGACTCTAGGCCTGCTACTCTATCTACTGTACCACCTAGCTGCCCCCATGTTTACTTTGTGTTCAACTATTTTGTATTTTTTGTATTTACTAACACTTTTATATTTTCAAACACACAGACTTGGAGACTCTGTACTTAGATTCTAGAAAAGTGAAATATATCATAAGTACTTAAAAAAAAATGTTTGTCATTTGAATGCAAGAGGGTCCCCACATGATTAATTTCCCACCTATTAATCCATAATAGAAAAATACAGAAATATAGAAAAAAATAGAAAAGCATGAAAATGAATTTGAGAAAAGTTTAAAGGAAATTCTGATATCAGGTCCATTTAAATTGTTAGCCATGTCTCCTGGTCTATTTTATTTATTATTAACTTATTAATTATTATTTATTAATTCAAATTATTCATGAATTCAAATACACTCAATTACATAAAACGAATCTGATAAGAAATAGCTGAAGTTGTACAATATTTTCAGTGATGATACTTTTTTTTTTTATCATTGTGTCTTTTTCTATATAAATGTGATGCCTATATCATTAAGTGTTACAGCCAGACTTTCTTTTTCTTGATTGTTAAAATTGGTAAAAATGAACTTTCATTTTTTTAAATGTCAAAAAAAGTTTATATGATTTGTACTTGTACTTATAAGTACAAGGATTGTTTCATTCTTTGTATCTGGCAAATAGTTGGTGCTTAATAAATGCTTACTGCTAGATCTTTTCAGAGAGGGAGCTCCCTATAACAATGAAATCACAGTTCTGCTCTAAAAACAAAAAAAAAAACCTCCTTTGGTACTTATTACAACACTATGACGTAGGACTCAGGATATTATTACCCACTTTTTACAGGCAGAGCACTGGGTCTGGAGACAGAAAAACCTGAGTTCAAATCCAGCCTCAGACACCTACCAGCTGTGTAATCCTGGTCAAGTCACTTAAACCTTGCTCAGCCTCAATTTCCTCATCTGTAACGACAGCACCTACCTCCCATGATTGTAGTGAGGATAAAATGAGATAATATTTGCCTTAAATGGTATATAAGTGCCAGCTAATTTTATTTATAAGATTTACAAAGTACTTTTCATTCATTATGTCATTTGATATTATGTAAGGACTACAGATATGATCACCACCTAACAGATGAGAAAACTCAGGAAGTTTCAATTATTTGTTCACAGTCACAGAGCAAGTGTGACTTGTATCAGATTAAGGATTCCAATGAGAGTCTCTGCTGACTCTAAGTCCCTCTTACAAGCTACTGATGCCACTAGAGCCTCCCATTCTATGCTATGCTTTCTGTGGCTACTATGCTACCACTACTACTGCTACCACAACTACTGCTACCACTACTACTACTACTACTACCACTACCACTACTATTACTGTTACTGATAATTTTTTCAGACATGTCTGATTCTTCATGACCCTATTTGAGATTTTCTTGGCAGAGATACTGGAGTGGTTTGCCATTTCCTTCTCCACCTCATTTTATAGAGAAGAAACTGAGGCAAACAGAAGTAAGTGACTTGCCCAGCTAGTAAGTGTGTGAGGCGGGATTTGAACTCAGGAAGATAAGTCTTCCTAACTTCAGGTGGGGCACTCTATCCACTGTGCCACCTAGCTGCCCATACTACTAATAATTAGCCAGTCAAAAAGAGGAGAGTCATAACTCTAGAGCTAGAGGGATTGGCATCTATAAAGGTCATCTAATCTAATGTCCTCATTTTACAGATGAGAAGACTGAGGTCTAGAGAGATGAAGTTTAAAAGATTAAGACTTGCCCCAGTTCACACAGGTAGTATTCAAAGACAGCTAGGATTCCCACTGAAGTCCACTGTCTCCAAACACTAAACCACGCTGCCTCTTCATATGCTGGCGTTACAAATATGAAATAAAATGACCATTTAATTCAAAAGAAGGTCTAGTGGGAGAAACATGTCGATAGAAGAGCTGAGTTTGAATACTTCACCTTATTTCTCTCCAGGGTTTTAAATAGAGATAAAGTTAAAAATACAAAGGAAAAGATAAAAAATACCATGTGATTGTTGTTCCAGATTCTCTCCTTTGTCCCAGAAGACATGAATAAGAACATGAATCAATAATACAGCAGTGTTCATGAACAAAAGCAAAAGGCTTTGGGGAGCTTTGTGGCTGCAAATGTGGTTGTGATATCATTTGGTCTTATTTAAGTTTTTTCTTTGATACAAGCGAAAACTCACTATGGGTCAGAGGGAACTGAAGAGAAGGTAATATCTGGAACTGCTATGATATAAAAACAAAAGGCATTAGGCATTAATAAAATGTTCATTTTTAAAAGGCTCTGGGGAGCAAGAGACACGTGTGCCTCCCTTAGCTAACTGATTTTGGTTTCTTAAAGCAAAAGTAACTTGTGGACTTACTTTTGAATCTAAAAACATTTATTAGCTACTCAAAGAGATATATAAGGATGGGCTTATATAAAACAATAATCACACCACCCATGTGGCATTGGGAAGTTAAAGATACTGAAAAGATGCATACCTGCTCATGTTTGAAGGATACAGTGGTGCAGTGAGCCCAGTGGTCTCACACCTAGGCTTAACATTCTCTCTCCTTTCTTCACACTCCTTCAGCTGAAGAATTCTTATATTGTTATCCCAGACTCCCCATCGCCTGCCCTTGGCCATGAAGTCAGCACTAGATGGGTCATGATGCAAGGCCAAGTATCCTACTTGACATCAATAGCTGTCTGAACCTATTACCCGAGGTTTTAGTTCCCTGTGGAGGCTCTGGAAATAGTCAACTAGTCCTTTCAGAATTTCAGTTTACTTGTTTGTTGACCCAATTCATTCTGTCCTTGTAGGATATCCTTATTAGGGTGATCACAAATAAGCTGATGGATAGAAGGCACTAGACCAGGGGTGGGGAACCTGTAGCCTCGAGGCCATATGTGTCCCTCTAAGGTCCTCAAAGTGAGGCCCTTTGACTGAATCCAAACTTCACAGAACAAACTCCCTCAATAAAAGGATTTGTTCTGTAAAACTTGGACTCAGTGAAAATGCTGCACCCAAGGACCTAGAAGGTCACATGCAACTTTGAGGCTACAGGTTCCCCACCCCTGCCCTACACAATCAAACAGGGGCTAAGGTGGCAAATGGGACTTCCCCATTGGTCAAATTGATAAACTGACCCACCCAATACACAGTGCATTTACATTATGTATATAACATATATGCATGTGCATCTCTATATATGTGTATATATGTATATATATACACATACACACACACACACCAATAAATACATATTTTTATGTATGTATGATACACACACACACACACACACATATATGAAACAAGGTTATTTTCCATTGTTTTAATCTTAACAAAATAATTAAAACTATTAAGTTTAATGTGGAGGCCCAAATGCTGGGCCACAGGGAGAACTGAAAAAGCCACAAAGAAGCAGAAAAATAACTAAAGAGATGGAAAACAAGTTAGGAAGGGAGGAGCTAAAAAAAGTCTGGGTGAAAAGAAGGCCAAAAGATGACTTAATTTTACTGAATGGAGAAGCTCCAAGCTGCCAGTTATTCTCTCTCAAAGCACATTGATTATTTCATTTGATCCTCACAACAACCCTGTGAGACAGGTGTGATTATTATCTCCATTCTACAGATGAGGTAACTGAGGGCTCAGAAGTTAAGTGACTTGCCCAGGGTTATACAGCTAGCCCTTATTTAAAGTAGAATTTGAACTCAGGTCCTCCTGACTCCAATACCAGCACTCTGTGTCATATAAGTACCTTAGAAGAATCAAAGGAAATGGGTTTAAATTCTAGAAATAGAGAGGTAACTTAGATGTGAGGAAAAACTTTCCTGATTATCTAGGGTTATTTAACATGAGGATGGAAAATTAAGCATATAGAAGCATACAGAGCCCTACCCTATCAGACAATCCTCTGGCTGGGATGGTTTATTTACAGTTCTGCCCAGTAGCTGGGTGGGTATTAGATGACCTCTACAGACCCCTCTTCTAACCCTACAGATTTCAGCTCCTACCTCCCCAACAGCATTAGAGAGAACGTGAACAATCTTCTCGTGCGGTGTGGCTACAACACTCTGTCCATTGATTTCAATGATTCGATGTCCTACTCGAACTCCGCCCCGCTCTGCTATCCCTCCTCGCATGAGGCTGCAAATCTAGTGAGAAAAAGACCAAATTAATCCCTGTTGACCATAGTCAATACACATAGTCACCATAGTACCAATGCTGATCTCTGAGGAAGTAGTTGGAGTTTGCAAGGAAGAAAAAGGGCTTTAAAGCCCTCCCAATAATCTTCCTTCCACTAAAAACATGGCAGAGGTTAGCTAAGTCTCCCATATGACACTCTGAATCACAGAATCTAACACAAATCTAAGTTTACACTATATGTTTATTCTGAAGATCACAGTTCAGTCAGGTCTTGGTATAAAGAGTTATTTCTTCTGGCCACTTAATTGCCCATTCTTTCAACTCTTAATTCTCTATAATAGAATGTTTTCCTAAAAGTCACAAATCCTGAGATCCCCAATATCCTGGTTAGGATTTGCTGAATGCCTTGTGACATCAGTACTGCCAAAGGGGTACATGACAGACAGACAGACAGACAGACACACATACACACACACATTAAGAATCTTTGGATTAGGGGACAAATCAGAGTGGAGGAAAACAGACTTAATAAAAGGATATTGTAATGGGTGGGTGGTAATGAGGATTGCTATTAGGCTAGTAGTAATGGCAATAGGAAGAACATGTCATTGATAAGCACCTTAAGGAGAGGGACTCATTTTTCTCTTTATATTTCTGACACCTGGTACAGAGATTGCCACATTTATTTTCTTTTTTTTACTGCAACTGTAATTCTGTTGGTCTTGGGTGTGAAGGGCTCTCCTTCATCCAAGGAGCACAGGAGTGAAGAACTGACTCTATTAATGAAGATCAGCTAACGCCTGGGACAATGGATGTTAAATGATATGCCCAGGGTCATATCAGTCATTCAACAAGCATTTATTAAGCACCTACTGTGTGCTAGGCATTGTGCTAAGCCCTGGGAATACAAAGAAGGGGGAAAACCCCCCTCTCTCCACTCCAAAACTAGTTAGTAGGTGTCAGAGATGAGCCAACTCCAGGTATTTCTGACTCTGCCTCTTTACCTACACCATGCTTCATCTTGCTTAGCAAGATTGGGCATCTTGCCCAATGAAGTGGGCATTAAATAAATGCTTGTTCATTGATTGAGTGATGGACATAAGAGATTTTAAAGAAAGAACTGATGGCCTTGGTAGCTGAAGGAAAGGTAAGAAATGAAGATTCAAGTATAAAAAATATAACTGGATGGTTTAGAATAAAGGTGACTCGGTACAATTTGGTACTACTGATGGACATAGTGAAATCAGGAGGAGGAAGAGAACTAGTGTGGGTCTTGGATCTGTGGAGTTTGAAGGACTGCTCCATCTAGGTCGACAGTTTGGAAGAGAAAGCTAGAAATCTACATTAGGTAGGGATCTGCATTGGTACAATGGTGTAATATCCGTATTATTGTTCATGAGTCTATGTAATAGCTTGGAATTTAAAAGTATAATACAACCACTTACAAAGTCAAGGTCATTTTTAAAAGGAAAGGAACACTTGATCTTCCCTTGCCTGCCTCTTCATTTCAGAATATGGTTCTTTATTTGAAACAATGCATAAGCATTTAATGAGATCATCTAAAAATACTTAATGTTTCTTAGAGAGATGGAGAACATTTTCCTGTTTGCATTGATTCTTGGTAAAAACAGTCCTCAGGGCAGGTAGATGCCCTGGGATTCTCCCTGATCTCCTTGACTGATCCAACTTAGCTTAAACATTTTCTGATACTAGAAAGAAATGTGAGTATTTTTTAATGTCCTAGAAAAAACAATGAAGAGAAAAAGGGAAATAATGTATGGATTAAAAAATGACTCGTGCTATGTGATGGTATTTTTTTGCTGATTTATTTGCTTCTTTCAAAATCAAATAGCATTCCTCTAGGGTAGCAATACTACGCTGACAGGTTTTGCTAATGAGTGAAGATCATGTAGGAATAGAGCAGGATGGCCTGTCACTAGAATTAATATCTAGAGCAACCCTATTTCTGGAGAAAACCCCAAAAAAATCTTCTGAGGGGAAACAAAACCTGTCTAATACACCAGGATATTTTGAGGAAAGTAAATAAGTATGTAGATAAAGTGAGAACCAGAGATAGAGACTAGATCTGTGATTTCACTGAAAAAAGGAAACTCCCAAGGAAGGAAACTAACTACCTTTACCAATACAAGTTGGCACCTCCACAACTTATATAATCTTAGAGAGTGGCCTAGAGCGCTAGGAAGTTAAATGACCACATAAGCTAGTGTATGTCAGAGGTAAGACTTGAACCCAGATCTTCTTGGCTTTAATTAAGGCTTGCTCTATCTACCATACCATGGCTACCTCCTGAGGTCTAGTGAATGTAACTTAATTAAACTTGGCTTTCACAATGCTTTTGACAGGGTTCTCTATAGCAAAGGCTATTACAAATTTGAGTTTCAAAGGATTGGTTGTAACTTTTCATCATGGATGAGCCCATAGCTTAGCCACGGAAAACAAAGAGAGGAGATGAAAGAAGTTTGGGCAAACACAGGGAATTCATATTGTAGGTGGGACTGGAGCTCACAACAGAAAGAGGTGAGGGCTGGATCCGCAGGGGATCCCCAAAGTCTAAGCATTGTCTTAACTTAAGCTAGTAAAGCTTAATAGCTTTATTTAATTAAAAGCTATTCAATTAAACCCTGTATAGCTTTGGGAGTCATCTGCATAGAGGTGATACTTGAACCCACTGAAGTAGATAAGATCCCTAGGAGGTAAGAAAAGGGCACTTAGGACCAAGGCCAAAGGCACACTCACACAAAGAAGTGCAGATGGAAGAATGGAAGAATTCAAAGACATAGCTGGCGAGTATACAATGCACTGCTTCCTTCTAGCCTCTCTTAGCCTGGTCTGGAGAGAATGCTTATCTGACCACTGGGGTACCTTTTCTATTTTTAAGTAAAAGCAGTCAGCCTGAATCAGCTCCAGCTTTTCTCAAGCAACATGAATTCTACAGAGGAAGGAAAGATGAGTGAATCTAAGTGCACCAATTTTCCCTATTTCTTTGGAGACACAACAGACTTAAAAAACCCAACAAACTATGATATTACATTTCTGTTGGGGTTTCTGTCACGTATTCGGTTGTTGGTACTTACGATTCCATTCTGGACACTGAAACCCAGCTGGTATCGGAGGTCTGGTCTTCTGATCAACACAGTGGTGACTGGGGGGGCACCTCACAATGTTCAGCTTCACTCGAGACTGATTCTTTAAACCCTGAAAGGAACCCACGGACATGGTGAGATCAGGAGCCAAACAGAAGGGGAGTCAATAACAAAGGAAAAATCAAATCCCAAAAGACATCTTTTTTTTTTTTTAATAATGCTTCCTCTCCCTTTCTCTAAGATCCTGCCAAATTGACCTGTTTCTCATACACAGCATCCTATCTCCCATCTCGGTGCCTCTGAATGCTTGGAATGTCCTCCCTCTTCACCACCAACTGGATGAATCCCCTCTTCCTTTAAGACTGCGCTAAAGCACTACCTTCTACATTATCCCCTTCCAAAGTCCATACTGGGAGAGAGGAAAAGGGAAGCTTCTTAACTACCCACTATTTATTCTGCATATACTTATACGCATACGATGTCTCCCTTGATAGAATACAAACTCCTTAAGAATAGGGACAGTCTCGGGCAAGTAGGTGGCACAGTGATATCCCCATCACCCAGCACTGTGCCTGCTACATGGTAGGTGTTTAGTAAATGCTTGTGAATTGAGCAGTTGATTTTTCACTAATAATAATAGCTAGTATTTAAATAGCAATTTTTACAGTATCTTGAGACTCAAAATAACCCTGTGAGATAGGTGCTATCATTATCCCCATTTTATAAATGCAGAGATAGATGTTGAGAGATTTTAAGGGACTTTTTAAAGTGCCTTGCCCAGGGTCATATGACCAGCTAGTGGCTAGTATTTGAAGTTAGACCTTCCTGACTCTGACTCTATCTAAAATGCCACCTACCTACTGCTATATTGACTGTGATCCCAAAGTCTTTAGCATGCACAAGCCAGTCAGCTTCTAGTCCTGCAAACTGGTACCTGATTCGACATCAAACACTATTAGTGCTTAAACTCCGAAAACCCCCCGAATGCTTTACATGCAGCCATTTTGGCTGCTGAGGGACCTATGCCTTCTGGGTAATATCTTTTTTTAAAAGTTTTTTTAAATTAAAAAGTACATTTATTATGTTAAATACTACATGTAAGTTACAATTATATGTAAAACATTTTTAAATATATATTTTTTAAATTTTGAGTTCCCAATTCTCTCCCTTCCTCCTGCTGGTACTCCACCCACTCAAAGGCAAGTATATAATATCAATTATACACGCGAAGTTGTGGGTAACTTATTTGGAAAAATGGCCTGTTTTCTAGGAGACCATTAAAACCTCTTGTAGTTCTGGAGACAACTATCACATGAACTCTTCTGCTAGAAAGACAAAGTATTGGCTAAGAACAGTTCTAGGCTCCTTGAAGTTGGGGCGGGGGACAGGATGGGGAGGAGAGGGAAAAGAGCAGGGAAATGCCTTTTTTGGGTGAAAATCCAAACTCCACATTTTCCTCTTTTGCAAAGCAGGTGCGTCAGATTGGCGCAGCCAACTCCTGGTCACCATCTGTAGATAATTCAGAAGCCCTGACTTCCACTTCTCCCAACAGCTGGGTGCTCTTTTGGCATTTTATTGCTTATAAGAAGGGATAGGGACAAACAAGGATGGGAAATGAAACAACTTAGCTAATTCTACACCTTGCAGACAGTAACAGGTTTCATGGTGAGGCAGGATGTTGTTGAGATGAATGGGTGAACTGAAATCTGGAGATGACCCATGGGTTTCTTTTTTTTTTTTTGGCTAGGCAATGGGGTTAAGTGACTTGGCTAGGGTCACACAGCTAGTGAGTGTTACGTGCCTGAGGAAAATATGAACCCTGATATTCCTGAATCCAGGGCCAGTGCTCTATTCACTGAGCCACCTAGCTGCCCCAACCCATGGGTTGCAATTGTCCACAGTATTCCTGCCCAATCCTTTCCTCTTCCCTACCTTATTAAATCCTTCTCTAAGAAAACAAAAAACCCTAAAAAACCCAAAAGGATTAACGGTTCCCTTTCAGTGTCTAGTTAAAACAATCTCTCCATTCTTGTTCTAGCTTGAGTTCCCTTCTTCCTACCCCTTCCTTCCCAGTGTAGCTGGAAGAAACATTTTATCAAAGAATCTATCCATCACCACACAGTTATTTATCCCTTTTAGGAAAGCCCCAAAGCTGGATTTACTATTACTAGACAGTGCATAAGAAAACCAAGGGGAATATTTTTAAAACATGAAAGTAAATTTTAATCTCTGAAATAGAAAAAAATCCATAACTTTACTGCTGGAGGTCATTGTTTCAACAGTAAATTCACAACAATGGCCATTTCAAAACTGAGTGTTAACACTGGCACTGGGTACAACTGTTAGTCATGGATATGGTGTTAGCTTAGCCACAGAGAATAAAGAGCAGGGATAATTGGGTCCTTCTTGGATCAGACAAATATACACAGTATGGTTTCTGAGTGATGTATCACCTAGAGAGGAAGCATGGCTGGATTAGACGTTAAAAAAAAGATGGGATTCAAATACTGCCTCTGACATTTAGTAGCTATGTGACTAGAAAAGTCAACTCACTTCTCTGAGATTCAGTTTCCTCATCTGTAAAATGAAGATGGAATCTGACATCTGATCTAAATCTATGACTGATGTTAGAACCAATCTTATTTAACAAATATTCTGGTATATGTAGGAAAAGTTTATGAAGCACCTACAGCATGCTAGTTACTGCACTAAGCATTATACAAACATTATCTCATTTGATCCTCACAACAACTCTGGGAGAAAAGTGCTATTTTTATCCCCATATTTTATAGTGAAGAAAATGAGGCAGACAGAGGTTGACCTGTTCCAGGTCACACAGCTAGAGTCTGAGGTTGGATTTGAACTCATGAAACCAAAATCTTCCAGGTAGTGAAATTCTAAGCTGATGGGGAAAGAATGAAGGAAGACCTCATAAGGCTGTATGAATGGACAGATAACTGACAGCCTTAAATGCTACAGGCAAACTCATGGTAATAGATTTAAGGGAAAATATTCTGAACTAAAGATATCTTAAGTATCAACAATAATATTTTGTGGGGAATGGAATGCATTCTGTTTCAGAAGTGAGTTGGAGAAATCTATAATACACCCAAGTAAAGTTTTTTTCTGATCATACAAGTGCAAACAGTTTGGTTTTCTCAAGATTGATGTTAGACATTGATAGACTTAGCCCTTCTCAGCAATGCAAGGATTTAAGACATCTCCAAAGGTCTCATGATGAAAAATGCTATCCACATCCAAAGAAAGAACTATGGAGTTTGAATGCAGATCGAAGCATACTATTTGCTTTTTTTTCATCGGTTTTGTTTTGTTTTCTCTTTTTTGTGGTTCACCCTATTGGCTCTAATTCTTTCTTACAACATCCCCAATGTGAAAATATGTTTAATAGGAATGTATATGTATAGCCTCTATCAGACTGCACGCCACCTTGGGGAGGGAGGCAGGAAGAGAGGGGGAGAAAAATTTAAAACTCAAAAGCTTATGGAAGTGATTGTTGGTAAATCAAAATAAATTAATAAAAAAATTGATGTTAAAACCAATCTTTAACAGGATATAGGGAGATCTGCAAGTCTGAAGGTGACACTCATCTTAGAGAAAAGATCTGAGTTACTTGCAAGAGTGTGTTGGAGCCTGGGCTTGTGAAAATCCATTGTTAAACGCTAAGTGTGCACATTCATGATTCAGAAATTGTTAATTGCCATAAATCAAGGCTTTATTTATTATTTTGTTGACTGACAATAGTTGATAAACATTTAGTAAGCTCCTACTATGTGCCAGGCACTATGGGAGTCCTAAGAAAGGCAAAAGACAGTCCCTGCCTTCAAGGAGCTCATACAAATGGGGCAGAAGCTGAAAGAGAGGGGGGAGGGAGGAGGCATTATGAAGCCAAAGAGTACAGCTTTAAGAAAGTGTTAATAATTCAGATTAAACTTAAAAACGTGTGTGCATACTTCCACAGCCTCAACCCCCACCCCAACCCTATTAGCCCAGTGGGGTAAACTTCTATCAGCACACCTTTGTATTGCTCTATAACACGGCTTGAAGTCATCACTAGAAGATTCAGGGAATGAAGTCATCACCAGATTGAAGGCCTGGTGACTGTAGGCTAGGTAGTGTTATTTTTATCCCCACTTTACAGATGAGGAAACTGAGGCAAACAGAAGTAAAGTGACTTGCCCAGAGTCACAGAGCTAGTGTCTGAGGCCAAACTTGAACTCAGATCTTCCTGACTCCAGGCCCAGAATTTAATCTACCTAACTGCTTCTAAGATAAAATATATAAAAGCTGCTGATTATAGATAGGCTATTGATTTGCATCAATGGAAGTTTCCACACTGGGAATTCACTATACCAATGAAATCATATATACATACAATGCACCTATGTATGTATACATGTATATATATGATGTATATGCATATATTATATCTATCTCAGGGGAACTGAACATTCTTTCACACAGAATATGATTATTAGATAATAGATTTATAGCTAGAACCAACATATATACATATATGGTAACTCTGTTATGTGAAATGTTAAGTATATGAGATATATATATATATATATATATATATATACATACACACATATACATCGTGTGTATATGTAAATATATATATAAAACAAATACATATATGTTGTTTCCAGCTCCAAATCTATTATCTGATGATCCTATTTGTGCTTTGAAAGGATGTTTTATATATGTATGTATGTATATGTGTATCTATGTATGTGTGTATATATACGTGTATGCATGTATTGGTTCCAGTTCTAAATCTGTCACCTAATGATCTTATTTCTGTCATCTCAGAGGATGTTCATTTCCTCTGGTACTCTCTGTGTCCCTTGAATTTCAGCTGATATGAAGCCACTCCTAACTTCCCATCGTTGGGTCCTTCTCTCCAACCATAGAGACACCCAGACAAGACAATTAGTCTTGAAGGAGTTGACATCATCATCTGGGCCCTCTCCCAGTGGCCTGCCACATAAAACCCTTCTGCATGAGTTTCACAGAGCTTCCTTAAACTAAGCCATTAGGGCTGTGATTATCTAAATCCCTACCCTGCTGAGGCAGATTACTTTTGGGAAA